TGAACAGTACTGATGGGGACTATGAAGGTTTGCAGTTTAATTCCTGCTCTTGCAGGATCAGTGAGTGTCTGGTTAAAGATAAACCTCATGAACACAACTTTAAATCCCCACGACATCACCAACAGTTCTGCAGGAGGACAGAAGCCCCTGATTTAATCTACCATAATGCTCTGTGATATGTTGTCATGGCAACATGAAGTCCAAAAAATAGAAATACAAAACTGCAAAAGAAGAGGAGGACAACAAGACAGGCAGCTGGAGGAGCTTTTGAAGCAGGACAGCTTTTCTGGATTTATCTTAACTGGAAATTCTGCTAAACAAGTCAAGCTGGAAACAAGGAGGCAGCTGGTTGGATTATATCTGAGGACAGGACGCATGAAGAGAAGCATGAGGAGAGAGGAAACAGCAGAGAGATGCTGTGGAGACGATCGTGGATCAAGTCGAAGAAGCAAGCACCAAAACTGTGAGTAGACATCACACACCAAGAGCTAAAATGACTGTGCTGATTAAGGAAACATTACATTTGGTTAGTTTGGGGTCTGGAGCTTCAGGTTTGTGGGTTCAGTTGGTCTCAAAATTGAAGAAAGACAAAAACATGTTTCTTTCAAAGGTTGTTGGAGGATTCTTACTGTAAGAACTGAAAGTTAATCCGTGGGTTTAACTGGAGAGATCTAAAGGGAACATGACTTCTGGAACAATGTCCTTTGGACAGATGAGAACAAAGTGGAGATGTCTGGCCATAATGCACTGCTATATTTGGAGAAAACTAACACAGCATATCAAGACAAACATCTCACACCAACTTTCAAGCACGGGCGATGATTTGGGCTTAGTTTGTTGGTGACACCACGGCCCGTTGTTAATCAGTGTAGCTTCAGTCATTTTGCAGATGTACTGTTTATAAGGTTGGGGAAACCTGCAGGAAGCTTAGGTTGAAGAAGTCACTTGGATGAATGACAGAATATTTGTTCCACTGAAAACGCAATGTTCACTTGAACAGAATCAACTTTTTAGGATTTCCTTACCTGGATCATTGAGCATGCATTAAGACATTTTAACCAACTTTGGGAAGGACTGCCTAAAGCTAGTATGTGAGCATGAGCAAACTTAACATAAGAGCGCTGACTACAGAAACCACAACAAAAATCTTCCAGAAGGCACAGAGCCAGCTGCTCAATGAACAGGTGAGACAAACAAGTTTTACCATCGATGTGTTAAATTCAAAAGCGGCTCCGATTGAGACTTACAGTGAGTCTAGATGAGAATACCCTTCAAATGGTGTTTGAATTCATTGAAAAGGCTCATCCAGCACAGCATGAACAGTCTAAGACCAGGCAACAAAGCAAGTTTGACTTACTTGTTGACATCAGCAAAACACAGAGCGTATTCTCAGCCGCTAGATGAGAGAAAGATGCCACACTGAGGATGTGGATACATGAGCATGTTTCTGGCAGACAAGTCACTCAAGCAGTGAACAACATTCTCGCAAAATGACTGAACACTGAGAAAAATCTCACGAGTGGAAATGATCACAGCCACAAAATCAGCAATTTAAAAAAAACACAGTGCAGATGTGAAAGCAGATGTGGAAGTTTTGGCCTATCGCAGCAATGCAAAGCCCCCAGCCCTCACATTGCTTAGTAAAGACAACAACATTGTCGTCCTTCTGTCAGACAAGGGTTGGTGCGCAGTTTTGCTAAACCAGAAAGACTATCATGGGAAAATTATGAGCCCCTGAAACGAGACCCAGGAAGTAGTTACAGGAAGATTGTCTGAAACAGGACGATGCTATTAACCGGACCTCATACCACAGGCTATAACCAGGGGAAACTGCACCAATTCTGTATGGTTTACTGAAGATACTGAGAACAGGTACAAGGGGTGTACCTGTAAGATCATATTGTTTATTTGATCAACTTGGTCATCTATAACATCTCAAAGTTTCTGGCTTTGATCCTCAACCTGTTGGTAGTCAGCTCTAAACACCACATTTCTGGATTTTTCTGAGAAGGCGAGAGACGTCATTATGGAGGCAGATGGTTTCGTATGATGTAACATCTCTCCTCACTTGTGTTCCCGTCATTGAAGCAGGATGAGATAACAGGATGACTCCAACTCAGCAACAGAACCACTCTCAGCGTAATGTGTAACATAATATATGAAAAGTATTATACAACAAATTATCATATTACATCCTTTAGAAAGCTACAATGAACATGGTTTACTTTGCTATGGCTATCTGAAGATGCAAGTGTATATACTGCCCCACTCTCTTTAGGTCCTTTCTGGACTCTATATACCCTACAGTATATTTCACTCCACAGATCTCTCATACTCCTCCCAGCCATGCTGTGCAGAAATACTAATTAGCCACCTTTCAGTGGTGCATCTCTAACATGTTGGTCAAAATTCTTTTTTCTGTGGTCAGCAGTCATTCCCTAATTCATTGAAACATAACGTGCAGTGGGATTTGGTGCTCCTGAATCCCCACATGAACATCTCTTGCAATGGGGTCGACGCAAAAGAACATACACTGGCCTGCATAAGAGTGTTATTATAACACTAGCATAGCTGGGGCTGAGATGAATTCTAGTCTCTCTGAACACGACAGAGTATGCAGCAAACTGAGGAGAGTCCTATTAAAACACGTGCACTGGCCATTTCCTGGCTTGATGGTAAATATTACGAAAGCTGCTGGATGAGGCAGCTTCCAAAGCTGTGGCCCAAGAAGCTTTCGGCAAAGTGTAATGAACAGCCAAAATTATATTTGGTTGAGTGGCCTTGTCAACATTAACAAAGTGGAATCCACTCACACCACCACCTGTATTGTACTTTGATGAATTCTGAATCCTGACTAAAAATCAGTCTAAAATTAGCTAAGAGAGCTAGGTCAAGTAGCTCAATAGTGCTCTGACTCTTTGTCAGTGCTCTGACATGTGAGACCGTTCAAATGCAAAACATTTGCAAAACATAGAAACTTAAGGGGCTGGCAGTGTCAGGAAACTCACAGAAAGTGCAAATTAAGTTGTTTGGATGACCCAAATTTGGGTGTGTCTTCCTTCATGCAAACATTGACGAACACTCATTAAAGTTCCAAATGTTCTCCTTTACCAGACTAAATCCAGTATGTTATTTGTAGTACTCTGAAGAAAACTACGGAGAAAGTAAGTCCTCTACTTGCCAGCTGGTGTATACGAGCAATTAATGTCATTTGTTCAATTTCATAATCAATGTGACATTTCAAGGAGACATGAATGGCATGGATTATATTTGGATCTTCACAGGTAAGACAAATGACCTTTTACTAAATGTATTTTCCCATATAAAGAATCAATGCCAGATATTTTATTGTTTTAATCTATCTAAAACCCACACCATGAACCACAATTATGAAGGAAAAAAGTGCACAATCACAAAATGTACTCTTCTTTTACTCATAACCTGCTTTGCTCACTTAGAGATGTTGTGGAATATTATCTTCCCTTAATTCTTTCCTCTTTGGGTGCCTATTTTGAAAAATCAAGAACCCGTTCCAATCTCATGGTCCTGGGTTTGACCAAATGTTTTGTTTTTTGTTTCGGGCTTATATTATCTTTCTTTTGGATGTAAGAGTGTTTTTAGGCTCTAGTATATTTCTCCTCTGTTTCCTCTGTTTCAGTCAATGAAAATGTGGGTTTTGCTGGAAAGACAAATACGAGTGTCTTTCCTGCAATGCTTCAAAGGCTCAAATCACATAATGAGGCATTAACAGTCATGTCATTTCAGAGCCCTGTTTATCTTTGTTCACGTGATATTCTGAAGAACGATCGACACGGGCTTCATTTGGACACGCTCCCTTTGTTCAGCACAGGGCTTCAGTGTCAGACATAATATCCACTAAAGAGTTGCATGTCACTCTACACTCACACATACCAGCCATCAGCTCACGACAGTTACAAACACGTTTGTGCAGTGGCTTTTTTGGGCTTTGCTGGCAAATAGTTGACTGGAAAAGACGCCTCAGCTATCAGAGTAGTTCAGACTTACCACATTACAGTCCAACCGCAGGTGGAGGGACTTGATGTTGAAATGATAACAAATACAGCAGAATTAGAAAATGTGCTGGATAATGCTGAAATCTGAATCCCAATTTCAACAAAAAACAGCATCGGGTGAAATAATCATTCTACAGTTGTTATGTGAAGAAGACTTTTTTCATTTTCTTTCTCTTTTTTTGGCACTTTTATAAACAGTTGTGTCGTCATCTTTCACATTGCAAACAAAACTCAGCAAATGAGATAAATAATGCAAAGTAATGCAAAATAATGCAAGTTGTAGGGTTGAGTGTTTTGCAGAATTTGGTTGTTGACCAAAAACACTAAGCATATTACCAAGTCCACATTGTAAGATGTAAGTATTTTATTATTATAATAATTATTATTATTTTATATTTTGCTTACCTTTTATTATTTAAAGTATTGATGACATCTTTTTCAGCAGTGATGTCTTTGAGAATGCTGTTAACCTATTAAAGCAGCTCATGTAGGGGAGAGTGGTATGTCATGATTCATCATTAAGACGCAAATTCAGAACACATTTTAACGACCACTGAATCACTGTGATTTTTACTTTCCACAATAACCATCTACCAACAAAACATATTGTTAAACTTTTCATGTATTTTTTGGAGGCCTAGAATGTGCCTGTCTCTAAAGAACTTTTGTTCAACATCTGTTATTGACACTGAATCTGTTATGCTAGTATCAATATGATGTCAATCGACACTATAGATATTTGGATCGACCCTCCCACCTCTGCTGTTTATATAGTCTTTAAAAGGGAGAAAAACTAAAGCTCTTTAAATAATTTATGTTAACAGGTATTTTCTTCTTGATGGAATCTGGTGCACCAACAGGTACAACCCTACTCCAACACCCCTTCCCACCACCCTCGACTCCCAGAGCAATCTATTAATTTGACTAATTACTACAGTTTTTTTTCTTAATAAGGTCATCTCCTCCAAAACCTGGCACTGAATCAGAATGCTGTACAGTCCTCAAACAATGACAGCCTGGGTTTTGCTGACAAGGCAGTTGATGGCAACAGAGACTCGAGCTATCAAAGAGGGTCCTGCACACTTACCACCTCACAATCTGATCCCTGGTGGAGGGTAGACCTGAAGAAAGTGTACACAATCGGCGCTGTACTAATTACCAGTACAGTAGAACTAGAAAACGGGCTGGATGGTGCTGAAATTTGGATTGGAAAGTCAACAGAGATCAATGACCATGAAAGCATGAGGTGAAAACACTTGATAAAGCCCCAAATAATGAAATAATTATGTGAATAAGATTTATTCCTTCACTTTCTTTCTGTTTTTTTTGGGCTCTTGCATACACAGGTGTGCTGTGATCTCTCACTTTCCCAGTGGACAGACATTTTACTTTCCCTGCAGGTCTTTTGAAGGACAATACGTCACAGTGTTTCTCCCTGGAAGCAAGAAGATCCTAAGTCTCTGTGAGGTTGAAGTGTACTATGGTAATCATATTTCAGTCTGATGCTGATACAGACGTCTGGTATTTCATAGACTCTGAAACTCAGAAAATGTTGTGAAAATTAAGTGTGACCTTTAAAATAACTGCACAGTGCACCTTCTGCAGAAACCGACTTTTCCTGGTTTTCTTTCAAGGATACCCATCATCCAATTTAGCACTTAAAGGAGAAGCTACTCAGTCATCTACGCTCTCTTTTGCTGCTGCATCCAAAGCCATCGACGGTAGACGGAACTCGTTCTATACCAATGGGTTCTGCAGCCACACTGCTGAAGACGAGACCGACCCCTGGTGGCGGGTAGACCTGCAGCACAGCTTTACAATCACTACTGTAAAAGTCACCAACAGAGGAGATTGCTGTGCTGAAAGACTGGATGGAGCTGAGATCCGAATAGGGAACTCACTGGAGAACAATGGAAACAATAATCCCAAGTAATGATGAGAATTCAATTTTCATTATGAAATGAAATTAAGAGATACATGCTATCCAACTTTGGGAAAATCCATATTAACAGAATATTGTCTGCATATATTCGTCTGTCAGATGTGCTTCCATCTCCCACATAAAAGCGGGTAAAACCTACACATACCAGTGTGACGGAGGCAGCATGGAGGGTCGCTTTGTGAACCTGTTTCTTCCTGGACAGAAGAAAACTCTCACCCTGTGTGAAGTGGAGGTGTATGCTGCCCGAGGTAGAGCTTTTAGTGAGTGAATCTGATCTATTGAAACACACCTGCCTGATAATGACTCATGTCTGTTTGTTCTTTTCGATACTCAGTGGAACCGCTTCCAAATGTGGCCTTAAACAAAGAAACAGTCCAGTCATCGACTTGGTCTGGGACAGAATATTGGGCCTCAAAAGCTGTCGATGGATGCAGAAATGGACAAATGCCACAAGGATGCTGTACCCACACTTCACCAACAGAGGACTCTCCCTGGTGGCACATAGACTTGTTGGGTCTCCATGAGGTCACTGCTGTCACCATCATCAACAGAGTCGAGAGTACAGCTTACAGGCTTATTGGGGCGCAGATCTTGATTGGGAACTCACTGGATCAAAATGGAATTAAAAACTCCATGTAGGACACGATTTCTCCATAAATTTTTATGATTTTATTTTTCTCATTTAAACAACAGCACATTATTGTTTAGCCAAAACATTTTCTTTTGTAGATAAAATAAGTTTGATGTTTGTGTAAATCTATCAGGTGTGGCACTATCAATTCATTAGGGAGTTCCCCAACACACACATTCCAGTGTAATGAAATGGAAGGTCGCTACATCACTGTGTTCTTACCAGGACCTCAGAAAATACTGACGATGTGTGAAGTGGAGGTGTTTGCTTCTCTCTCTGGTATGGCCGTGGTGTGTTTGTTTCTAGCACCATATGTTGTGGTTGCATGTGCTTGCTGTTGCTTTCTATATTGTCTCTATATTGCTTTCCACCTCTCAGTATTCATGTTTTAATTTGGAGCTGAAAGCAACCTTACAATTCAGCCTGTTAAAACAAAATGAAAACAACCAAACATGGTTGGAACAAACGCAACCTGTCAAGATTTTTCTTTTCAGCCCCCAAAGCTGTCACTCCTCCACCAACTCCTCCACCATCTCCTCCCACTGTGAGCGTGCTGCTGGGCGAAAGGAATGTGATGGTTGTGGGAAAGAGGCTTTGCTGGTCTGATGCTCTGATGTACTGTAGACATTATCACTGGGACCTGCTCAGCCTTCACAGCCGACAGGAGCAAGACGAGTTGGAGCAGCTGCTGGGCAGCCTTCCCTTCACCCTCACAGACTACATCTGGCTGGGACTGCGCAGGTACTGTGCTTATCATGTAAATGCTCTTAACACCTCAATGTCAGTGAGACCAAAGCACGTACAAACTCCAAAACACTTGCAAACTCCAAAATCAACTCCAACCATGCAAACTCCAAAACACTTGCAAACTCAAAAACACATGCAAACTCCAAAACACGTACAAACTCCAAAACACTTGCAAACTCAAAAACACATGCAAATTCCAAAACACAACGGAAGTGCTCCAGGACGCTAGGGGCAGTGTTGAGCTTTTGTTACCTAGTAACTACACAAGCCAGGAAGTACCAATGACCGGATTTGGGGTTTGCAGCCTTAAAGGCCGCATTTTAAGGCCGATTACGTCACAGCGACAAGAGAAGGCTTCCCAATTCAAAGGCTGCTCGAAATGCGGCCCTCAAATGCGTCCTTAATTTCCCTGAATTTTAAGGATGGGTCGGTGTAGCCTTCATGGCCCAACATATCCCAGACTTCATAGTGCGGTGGTGGTGTGGATAATTTTGCCGAAAAAAAACGGTGGAAGCGGAGCGGAGGAAGAGTAAACTTTCAGAAGTAAGTACTGAATATTATGTCACTTATTTATGCGCAAATATTTTTTTAATGAAGAACATTAAACCATTATTGTTGGCCACATGTCGGGAAAGTTATGTGACATTAGCGATGTCTGTACTTTCAGAATTAACTTGGTTTTAAAGCCTTTACTTTAAAAAATATATATATAGTCGACCTTAATCTTACAGAGATTGTGATGATTTTGTGGATAATTAAAGTCAGTCATATATCCACAAACACAACAAGCTGAAAGTCAGTGATGCTGCTCGGTTTGCAGTCCTGAATATCACGGCACAAGCAGGATTCACTGCACTGTTAATGTTAGCTATGTTATATTGCTGCCTCTGTTCGGTGGTGTCGAGCCAAACGGACTTTAACGTGTGTTTGAACGAGCTGACGGTTCACTCGTTAAGCTGAAAGAAAGATGCTTTAATCACAGCAGTCACACATGTGTCCACTGCACCATCTGGAACTCTTCTTGTTTAGCACTCGTAATAACACAAACACTAAATCCTCCTGTTTGTAGCAGTGTTACACCTGAGACTGTCACCTGTCTGTCTGTCCTGCACTCTCTCTCTGTTTCTTTCTCTCTGATTGTGGAATAAAAGTATGAACATGTGTTTATAAGTTACACTTGTGTTTGAATCCTGCAGCTTATCACACATTTGATTTCCATGTGTGACACTGCAAGTGTCCAGAGTGAGGACAGACTGAGGGACCCACTGCTGCACATCATCTGTGAGGCTTTGCACCCCTGATGATCCACCAGGACAAACTCAGCAGTGTGTGAGGAAGAGGAGGAGGAAGAGCCAGCAGCAGCTGACAGATGGAGAGAATAGACAGACTGTTCCCTGTTTGTGAAGGACTGCTAGGAAAGTTTAACATAACTGTCTGTCCTGAATCAGTCTTATTAGGTAATGTTCAAATAATTGTTATCATCCCAGTGTTTCAGTGTGGGAGAAAGTACTCAGGGCCTTCAAGTTACACACTATGAAAGGCAGCAACAAGTTTAATGTTCAGAAACCTAAAGTTGTATCAGCAGCAGAATGGAGCTAAAATAAATGTTTGTTTCAGTTCTATGAAGCTTTGAGTATTTTGGATCAGTAGCACTGCTGTGTTTGTTGCATCATATTGCTGTAATTGTTTATATGCTTTATATATTCTGAGGTAAGTTGATCTATAGTGTTACATCATATTCTATAAGGATGTTATGTGTTTGTAGACTTTCTGCCCAGTTTGACCCATTTAGCAGAAGTCAGCCTGTTTAAGGCTCTGATATCTATTCTGTATGACTTCAAAGCAGTTATGACATGGTCTGATTTTCTCACCCAATAAAGGAATATTTCATATATCAGTCTACTCTTCATTTTATCAGAAACAGTTATCAAGCTTGTACATTTTCTTTTTATAAATATATGTAAGCAATGAGCCAAATTTAGTAATGCCAACATGAAGGAACAACATTTGTCTCTTATATATGATACACCTATATATGCACTGTCAAAGATACTTGTCTTTGAGTGAAGATTTAAGGTGATAAGACATATAAATAACTGCAACTTGAATCTGTACTGAAGCTCAGTATTTGACACAGAGTTCATGTTCACTGCTGTAATAGCTAATAATGATTAATATAATAACTATAATATTGGCCATATTATATTTACATTACCAAAGTGATATGACTTTAGTCTCATGAACAACATAGCTAATTTTATTTACTAACTAATCTTAAATAACTGTTCAGTACAGAAATGAAGCCCAAAAATCATGTTTTACTGTCCTGTGGTCTCAGCCTCAGATACTTATCAAATCACACAAAGCTCTTGTAGAAACAAACAAACAAACAACAAACAAGACATATGTCACGTTGTACCGTTCCAGCGGTTAGTATCATGGTTGCTAGGCAACCTGGGAAGCGCGACGGAGACTAGACCGTCCCATACAGACAAACTTGCCGTTTATTTTGCAAATCGAGCTCAACACTGCCCCTAGCGTCCTGGAGCACTTCCGTTGTGTTTTGGAATTTGCAATGTTTTTGGTTTGAAGTGTTTTGGATTTGCTACGTGTTTTGGAGTTTGCAAGTGTTTTGGATTTGTAGTGTTTTGGATTTGTCTTTTTGATTGAATTGTGTTTTGGATTTGTACGTGTTTTGGAAGTTTGTAGTGTTTTGGATTTGTAGTGTTTTGGATTTGCAAGTGTTTTAGTTTGCAAGTGTTTTGGATTTATGTGTTTTGGAGTTTGTCGTGTTTTGGAGTTTGCATGTGTTTTTAGTTCATGTTTTTGAGTTTGCAAGT